TAATGATTCTACTTTAACCCTGATGAAAAGAGAAGTCCACCTAAGGATTCTACTTTAACCCTGATGAAAAGAGAGCTCCACCTAAGAATTCTACTTTAATCCTTATGAAAAGAGAAGTCCACCTAAGGATTCTACTTTAACCATGATGAAATGAGAAGTCCACCTAAGGATTCTACTTTAACCCTGATGAAATGAGAAGTCCACGTAAGGATTCTACTTTAACCCTGATGAAAAGAGAGGTCCACATAAGGATTCTATTTTAACTCTGATGAAAAGAGAGGTCCACCTAAGGATTCTACTTTAATCCTTATGAAAAGAGAAGTCCACCTAAGGATTCTACTTTATCTCTGATAAAAAGAGAGGTCCAACCCAAAAGTACTAACGTTTTACCTTCTTTTGTTTACTGTGAACAAAAAAGTAAATTTTATTTAAAATGAAACTGTTAATTTTCATAATCTTAACTCTAAATTAACAGTTCAACAGCACAATATTTATAACTTCTTGTACATTCTGTTTTATTTTTAAGAAATATTTCATTCATTTATGAATGATTACAACAGTAAAATTGGCTGATTGGTGTTTTGTTAAGCACAAAGCTACACAATGGAGTATCTGTGCTCTGCTGACCACAGGTATAAAAACCTGATTTTTTTACCATTGTTAGTATACAGACTTATCGCTGAGCCACTGGGGGAACACCAGTAAAATATAAGTATTTATGGCATCATATGTTTAACACAAGTAAACATTAAACAAAAAATAATAACATATTAATCTGCATAAAAATATCCAATTTATATTCCAAGCAAATCAATAGATCAAATCTATCTAGGGTTTAAAAGGTTTTATATACTTCAGATATAGAAATATAGCTAATCTGCTTGTGAATATATCTGTAAAATACAACAGCTTACCCCAAATTCTCTCACTCCTCTGTTAGGAGTTTTTGAATAATTCCACAGTTTAATCATGGACACTATAACAGGGTGATCAAAGATAATGTATATACGATTCACCTATTTAAATAAAAGAAATCATCATTAAATTAATTAAACTCAAAATTTTACAAGGTTTAAACTTAGCAAACTTTTAACATATAACAAATCTATAAAAATACAAGTTAATACCAGATTTATAATAACAAGCTGAAGAAAACTATCTTGTAAATACACAAGAGCAAAGATTTATACAATTGTCAGAACACCTACTTCTCTACGTTAACGTTTTCTTAAACTGAAAATGTATTTCCAATAATACTTACCTATGCTGACACTATAGCTATTTCTTTATCTCCAGAGTTTCCACTCTTTGCCCATCTAAGCATTGAAAATGCTTGTCCCAGTCTTTACATACCCCACTCAAATGCCCTTGATAAATTCTAATTTACAAATTTCTCGACCAACTTCAATACACCTTCTATCTAGGTACTGTATATAATCACCTCATTCAGATAATGTAATTACTTTTTTGAGACATAAACCGGCTTTTAGTGGGGAAGTAGGGTGGAAAAGTGTCAGCAGAGGTAAGTACTATTGGATATACATTTTCAGTTTAGGAAAATGTTAGCTTCCAAAACATTCTTACCTCCACTGACACTATAGCTTTAATCTCACATTGAGAAGGTTGAGGGGCCAGTGCAGCTATGAAACATACAGAAAGCATCTGTAAAGAGCAGAAGTGTACCAAGATAAAGATAGTACAAGAATGGGGGAAATGCACTACATCCAGAACAGGTATGCTCTTCACCAGGAACTCAGTTCTATATCAAAGGTGGAATGGAATACGAGTAATGTCAGTATAAGCCAGCCCCAACTAGATAGCCGAGGTTCCACAACTCAGGGTTGGAATTAAGGGGTCGTGGTACCTATATTCCACTTTGGTGGCTAGGACTATTGGACCACAATGTTATACATATATATATATATACACTTTTGATTGGATCCCAACATGTAGTCATAGAGTGATGCATTTGGTACCAGAATCATGATGAGAAAGTAAGCAACACAGAAGTGAACAAACTTTCTCTTCCACCTAAAGAAGTCCAAAAGGCAACACCCCCTGCTCAGAATGATGGGATCGTGTATGCTGTACTCAATCAAAGACACAGAACTCATCTGGTCTGGAATTATGAACATTCATCCTCACTCCCCAACCAAGTAGGCAAGGAGTATTCAGCTTGCCCCTGGAATTATGGAGAGGACATGGAATCTTTGCTCAGCCAAGGACCTAGGATGGGACCACTTCACATTCAGAAGTATGAGGAGATAGTGGACCTCCTTCCATGAACAATATATGAAAATGACATTGATCAAGGAGAAGGGGCATGCACCATCAACTGGATAGCTTCATTTCAAATCTGGTGCCACTCCTACTGACATTTGGGGAAAACATTTAGGGATCCGAGTAAGAGGGCCCCAACTTTGCCCTCTTCTCCAAGAGTGGACGAACACACTTGAACACTCTGGAGGAAAAGCCTCTGTCTGCCATCCCAGCAACTGGAAACTGGGGGTGGTAAGGACTCTCAAGCTCCACTAGTAGAGTCTGGGAGGGTAATAACATTGGGAGCTCTGAGGAACAATGCTCTGAAAACTGTGCAATAGGTGAACCAAGTTCCATACATTTTTAAAAGCAAACCAAACCCGATTTATTCAACCTGAAGATAAGCAGCTTTACACATGATAGTCCATGAGAATCTGGGAAAACTGAAATGTTTAAAATGAACACAGGTTCCAATCAAAACTCAAACAGGTCTGAAAGGGTTCCATTTGTTGAGAAGCTAAATATACCTCCACCTGGCAATGATAAGCCAAAGTATGTGTTTCCAATAAACTTGAGGGGCAAGGTATAACTATTCCATCACAAAACTGAGCAGCAAATCTTCCAGCATGATCAGCAATATCAGGAGAAAAAACCAAATAAACACTTGCCATCCTTTCTGCCAACAAAGAAGGAGTAGAGTCAAATGCAATGGGAAAGACCCCAAAAACCTCACAAACCTCAATAACCAAATGAAGAAAAAGGTCTGGAGGTGGCTGATCAAAATGATCCTCTGTTGAGGTTGACCTAGTTGAAGAAGGAGCCAGAAAAAACGAGTCTAAATTTTCCCTAACTGGTCCCGGGTCATTTGCAAAATCTGCCTCAGAACTCTCCGAGGAGACACCCCCAGTTTACACGTTTCCATGTCACAACAGATCATATCACGGATAGTTTTGACTAAGAGTGACCCCCTCCCCTGGTTGTTGCCCAAACATCAGATAGCAAAGGTGGAAGAAAAGAGGTCTGGTAGACCTCTGTAGTAGAAATGGTACATTTTCTTTCCATATAATTTACAAATATAAATGAAGATATAACCGTAGTAACGCAAACTACGTTTAAAGTTGCAACGTAACTTGTGAATAAACACAATACTCCTGTTTATAGAAACCCATGCTGAATACTTTGTCGAGAAAAAAGTAATATATTATCTGAATGAGGTGATTATATGCAGTACCTAGATAGAGGGTGTATTGAAGTTGGTCGAGAAATTTGTAAATTAGAATTTATCAAGGGCATTTGAGTGGGGTATATAAAGACTGGGACAAGCATTTTCAATGCTTATATGGGCAAAGAGTGGAAACCTTGGAGATTGAGAAATAGCTATAGTGTCAGCGGAGGTAAGGATGTTTTGAAATATCTGTTTTAAATAGGTGACTTCTGTTAAGAGATGTACACATCATTTATAATTTGAATATTTGAATAAATCTAATAATATGATTTCACAGATTTTAATAACAAGAGTCTGCTTCTGTACTTACAATATCTGGTAACAAAGGAGCAAGCCACATGTGACATCCATCTGACGTATTGTTCATACCATCAATTAGCTTGTCCGGAGTTCTCACATCACCAAATATGTTTTCTAATACATTGACACTATCAGGATGGGCTGCGATGTCTAGATGTACAGAACGAATAAGTTGATAAGAGAATGTGAAACAGTTAAGATATGTGAGCTGATTCAAATTACAGTCTATGTCAACCCTATAGCTTTTGTTTTGTCTTGCCTAACTCCTTAAACACTCAACCTTTTTTTCTGAATCATTCATGAGGTGTTTTTAAGGACCCCCTTTTCATTTCTTTGAATCTTTCCATACTTCTGATGTTTTTTTTTTCTTTTCTAATCCCACCCTCCATACTTTTTCCTTCCCCCTTTAATACCCTGAATAATTACTTCAGCGCCCCATCCATTCTGTTTTGTTTGGTTCCTTGAACATACATGAGCCCTGGTATTGGGTGAAAGACTTTGTCAGCACTGGATATGGTAGATGTAGTGTGGTTGAAATATTATAACATACACTTTTTTACTTTCTCCACAAGTTTGTATAATAATGTCTTTAATTGACATTTACGTGCTTGAGCTTCTTTCTTTTATGAATTCTAAGCAAAATCACATCTAATTGTACTTTTATTTTATGAAGCTAAACAGTTTCTAAGCACATAGTTTCAAAAAAAAAAAAAACAGCTCACTATTATCTGTCAAAGGAATCTTCCTGCCTGCAACATCATACACCTCCAATCCATTGAGACCAATATAATAGAGGTCACCCCAAGTGGACAGCAAGTGAAGTTCAAACACAACTATTTTGTCGCTAAGGGTCAAAACTTATTTTATTTGCATACATTAAATGAAAAGACTGACCTCGTAAGTGAATATATTTTTTTATTTCTAGTAGAAACATATGAACGTACCGGTCAGATAAACCTCAGCTCAACAATATTACAATACACAGCAGCATGTACATTTCACAAACTCTGTATACCTTGAAATACTATATTAAACCTGTGACAGTCACAAATAAAAAAACCTCAATTCAAATCATTGTGACTTTATGAGTGACATCACTCAGCAATCAGCTGTTACGACAGCGGAGGTCACGTGACGCTAGTAACACGTCATATTCTCGAAGGTTCGTGAAGTCTCGAGCGTTTACTAGATATGCAGTATTCTTGTGTATATAAGACCGGTAAGAAGTGATGGCAAAAAAGTAATTGAATTGCAGACAGAGACAGAGACATACTGTTAAGTCGAGCGCGTGTGTCGTTCGTTGTGAATTATAGCGTTTATTTAAGCTATAGAATGATTGTGGATATTAAGTGAATTTCAAAGTTGTATTCAGAAAGAATAAATCAGTTTTATTTAAGAAAGGACTTGTATCGCTAAAGTTTCTTCAGAAAGAATTTTTATGGAAAATTAACTAACGACCAGAGATGTAACACAGCTTATGAAACTGGAAGAGTAACAAGGTAAAAATACATATCCAAACCACACACAGAAACTTTTTTTATTAGCAAAATAGCAAGATTTTTGTAATGTAATAGTACATGTAGAAACAGTAAAAACGTTATTATGAGGTATTAGCATATACAGAAATAGCAAAATCGTCATTAGAAGGTGTTAGTACATGCAGGAAAAGTTAAAAACATTCACAGAAGGTGTTAGCACGTGTAGGAACAGTAAAAACGTTCTTAGAAGGTGTTAGCACATGTAGGAACAGTAAAAACGTTCTTAGAAGGTGTTAGTACATGTAGGAACAGTAAAAACGTTCTTAGAAGGTGTTAGTACATGTAAAAACATTCTTAGAATATGTAAAATATGGTAAAGAAATGTTTGTAAAAGGATACATCCCTGAGGCATTACAGGAGCCTCATAATCAGTAAGAAGGTCATCTGAACTTCTCCTAAAACAAGAAGAAAATGTACAATGATTTTAACAATATTTGGTATGACTAGATCAATAAAGTGGTCATGAATTCTGTAACCAAAGATTTACATCCACAGTTTAACAACATTTGGTATGACTACATTAATAAAGTGGTCATGAATCCTGTAACCAAAGATTTACATCCACAGTTTAACAATATTTGGTATGACTACATCATTGAAACAACTATTAAACATGAAAATATATTTCTCAGTTTTCTTGAAATGAAATACAATAATTAAAAGACTGTTCTGTGTCTTTCAAACCTTTATACTATTTCTGGTGTGTTTGTTACATTTTTGCTATCTTCGACACAAAGCCAGGGTGCAAGCTTAACATTTTTTTAGGAAACCAGCCGGAACCTTAAATCATGCAGTTTTAGGGGCCAATCCTAAAAGTGGAGGTTATCAGAAAAATTATTGAATTAAATAGCAGTTGGAAGGAAACTAAAGCATGGTACAACAATAACTTTTTGTTCCTCTTTAAGTTATTAGGATGATACACCAAGTGGCTCACCATTAGTACAGCACTGTGTATTAGCTCATTGTTTGGGGAAGTCACTGAAGAGTGCATAACAACAGAGTGATTGGAAATTTAGAATGTCCCATTACTTTCCAAAAGGGGGGTTTCTCAATGTTTGAACTATGCATGTCACTATATGTTGAAGGTAGCAAACAGATATAGACAAATATAAAATAAATAACCTATCGGACAGTTATATAACATTCCATTTCATCATTTGACAGTCCTATTATTTATGAATCTAATCAAGAACACCTAAGGTGTGAAAAAAAGGTACAGCCAAAAAAGAATTCAGCGTGCAACTTAAAGGAATGAAATCAAACTTGGCGGCCAAACTGGTAGCTACATTTATAGTATTGATAGGGATTTTACAGCAAATATTTATTCTTTAGTTAGCCATGCTGCAGTTTCTGTTCAACTTGGGGCATGATGGTGGGTAAAACAAAATATGCAGCTTAACTAACAAATGAATGAATATTTGCTCTAAAATTAATATCAATGTTATAAATGCAGCTGATTTCCATTCTTTAAGTGTGAAGAAAAAAAAATAGGAAGAAATTCAATAAAAATTGGAGATTTTATATCTTCTGTATTTCTTAATTGATTGCCTTGAAATTTGGTATGTGAAGTATGGGTCCAGTAGAGCACATCCACTGAAAATATGTGATAGTTTAGTTTATCACTGTTCAAGCTAAAGAAAGTGGATATTGCTAAACTATCATTCCTATTAATAACACACAGTGTGTTTTGTAGGTTGTTTTGGCTGCACAACACAATACCGTGTGTCTTGATATGCATAGTTCCTAGAAGTTACCTTAAAGTTAGTTGTGACTCAACAAACGTGATAGCTGATTGCTTGGATTGCTTCTGAATGAGAAAACTAGATATTTTGGGTTTTTTGAGTAAGAAGCAAACAGTTGAAAAACAAGAATCACAAAAGTGGGAACTATCGTGACTGACTAACTGCCTTTTGCTCTTGTAACTAACAGGACAGTGTATACATTTATTTTGACAGTAAAAGTTAGTATTTCATGATTTCATACAAATGTCAGTAGTGAAAGTTTAAATGCAGAGATTTAAAACACATTTGATAAAAGCACGTGTGTCGAGCAATGAGGTGATAAATTTTAAATAATTCAACCAGCAAAATGTAAGTCTTCTTTATCATAATACATTTAAAGTTGTCATTTCTTTTTCTTTTTTTAAGGTTGGAAAATTGATCATTACGTACGAAATAAAGATACAATTAGGAGCATTTTTAATAATGCCAATTTAAAAAATCTTTCAACAACCTACTTGAACAGTCTTCTCTTTATGAATTAAAACTTTCAAACCTTGTCATTTTATTTGACCTTTGGTTGGAATACTTTGTTTGGTTTAGAAAATGGTCGAGTTCAAAATGTGTAGAGTAATAACAAAAGTCTTCAAACTTATGGCTGAAGTGAATGATGAACTTTAGCAATGAGCCTTATCAATTTGTTTCTCTCTCTCACAATGGTCACATAACATTATGTATCAATCATGTACTAGCCACAAGGTCAGTTCCCATTTTTGTTTCACTCATTCAAATAATAAATGAAAAACAGATTCTAAATTTTTTGAATGGCACATTTATTGATAACTTCAACCATTTCTAATTTAATGAAGCTTCAAATTACATTCTCTGTATTCATTACAGATTTTAAACTATCAACTTTACAGTAAATAATCAGAATCAGGCCGAGTGTGTGTTATAATTATTTACAATTGGTGATTTCCAATTGTGACATAATCAATAAAATATAATGTTGTTTTTTTATTTTTGGTTTGTGCAGTTTGGTGGTATGAATAAACAGTTACA